CAGACTGACCGGTCCCTTGGGACGAGGTTCTTCGTGAGCCGCGACACTTGGGGCAGACTGACCGGTCCCTTGGGACGAGGTTCTTCGTGAGCCGCGACACTTGGGGCAGACTGACCGTCCCTTGGGACGAGGTTCTTCGTGAGCCCGCGACACTTGGGGCAGACTGACCGGTCCCTTGGGACGAGGTTCTTCGTGAGCCGCGACACTTGGGGCAGACTGACCGGTCCCTTGGGACGAGGTTCTTCGTGAGCCGCGACACTTGGGGCAGACTGACCGGTCCCTTGGGACGAGGTTCTTCGTGAGCCGGGACACTTGGGGCAGACTGACTGATTCTTGGGACAAGGCTCTCCCTAAGCAGCAATACTTGGTGCAGACTTACTTGACTGGTCCTCTTGTGACAGTACTTATGTTAACTGAACACATTTAGGCTGAAGTACTTAGTAGCATATAAACAAAAAAACTTTCGTGAATAAAAAGAACTGTCATGGCTTCCTCCTGCATAACACTAACATTAACACCTAATCAAATAATACTTACAACAGCAGGGTTGAGCAACTGACAGTATATATTACCACATAGTTTTAAATAAAGGTCATGACATTATATAAACAACTTATCAACATAGGTTAATTAGAGACATAATGAAATAGAGATCATGTTTTTATGTAATTAGCTTAGTAACATCTTTTACTGAGTGTTTAAGAAATGGTATTGAATGTCTCACTTTGATTTACCATTGAAACATGAGGTCATGGAATTAGATAAGTTCATGTAAGTTTCATTAGTATCTATCTTTTTTATATTTAAATTTATAAAACTATCTCTTCATAATAATGATCATGCTATTAAGGGGAATAAGGGCTGGAGCCAGTCATGTCTTGGTTTAACTGTTGGTGATCTTTATTGTGAGCTATGGCTAAGTTGTTAGTTGTTAAAAGTAAGTTAGACGTGACTCCTGTGGGTGGCATACTTCCCTTTTCTTTTTATCTCATTTCAGGAATTGCTCCCAGTACCTGGAATTGTTCTTGCATAAAGCAGGTAAGAAGCATATAGATAAGAGTATAATACTCAGTATTTAACCTACTAGTAAGGATCCTGATTGTAATGTTGGTAAAATGGCCAGCCCTGACAGTAGTTGATCCACTGGCATTCTACTGCATTTTATGGGATTATGTCATAATAATATATCATTACAGCTCCTTGTGTTATGAGGCAATGGCAGTCTTTCATCACAAAATTCATTACACCAAAAGCAATTAATCAGCAAGTCACGCAAAATGATCATACTCTATTAGAAAGCATGCGTTACGGAGTGTTATTGCCCCGAGGACCATGGATTATGGGCGTTTCCTACAGGTCCTTTTTGCTTAGGCCCTTACTTAAACTGGCAATGTATAAAGCACTTCTGTCCTATCTAGGAATCCTACAAATAGGGTAATATATAATTTAAATCAACAGCAAGAAAAAGACAATTATTTGTCAACTACAACCTCTAAAATTATATTTTTGTTCCAGAGGAAGGACAGGAAGTACTGGTGGCCAAAAGACAAGTGAACACGGAAGAGGAGGAGAAGGTAGAAGATGAAGAAGAAGAGGAAAAGAGGGAACATAGAGAAGAAGAGGAGAAGGAACATACCAGTAGTAAACTTGAAAGGAAAAGGAAAAAGAAGGACAGAAGAACAACAGCAAAAAGAAAAAAGGAAAAGGAGGACAGTTGTTAAAAAAAAGGATTTTAAAGGGACCCTGGTCAGCTGCACTTTTGTTTTTGTTTACCTTTGGATTTTCAATTTTTCAGAAACTGATGTACAAGTTGTTACTTTTATGCAGTAATAGTTATGATTTGAAATTAAAAGTTAACCCTTTAACTCCCAGATCAAATTTGTTATTCTATTCAATGTGAACCGTACAATTCTTTTAATGTTAGTTCAGAGAATTTAGTATTGGATCTACTAATTATCCCCCAATTGATCTTTTTCTTTATTCTCATCACTTATCTTGTTACTATCATAAGGAGAAATTCTGTCTTGGTCACTCATGGGAGTTATAGGGTTAGTGTTGCACATGCAGTATGGCCTGTTTTACTTGTGTCAGCTATTACTATTTCTTGTATGTTGTGATATACGCTCCTCGTTTGAAGGACTTTGTCCTCTCTCTTGAAGGTTTTGTTGTTGTTGTTGTTTTGTTTTTATTTTTTTGAGGAAAAAATCTCACTTTGAGGAAACTGTTCACATTGAGACTTAGGAGTGTTAAGCTTCCTGAAAATTAGCCACAAATACCATGTAGTCAAAGGAGCACTTTAGTTCCTTAACTGTTTATCACACTTAATCTAAGTCTCTTATCCCCTTTATGGCTTTTGCAGTCTATAAAGAGGGCTAGGTCAGGCCGTTTAAAAACCAAGGTTAGATCAACAAGCATTGATCATTTTGTTAAAAGTGAAGTGTTGCAGTTGTTTAATGGCTTTTTGGTGGATCTAGTAACACATTCATAACTGGATCGAACATTTTAAGAGCTGTTAATAATGGAAACCTCTTTGCTCTCAACTATCAAACCAATTCCTGAAAATTACTCACTTTTCACAAAATTGGCAAATCTGTCTTCATCTAGCAACATTTAATCAATCTGGATTCAAAAATACATTTCTCTCACTGATAAACACAGCTTGAACTGTATGTTTATTTTATATTTAAAAATTTAGCTTCTTTTAACAATTACATTAGCCCGCCACACTTTCTTAATTTCGTGAAATGTCGTCAATCTTCTTTAGTTAATATTTGATTGCAAGAGATGAACATACATTACTTTTCAGACTTTTTTTTGTCATATTCTCCAAAAAGATTTTCATATTTCATTAGAGTTCTGTCCCTTTCCTCGTTACAAACGACCAATTAAAATAGAAACACGAAAGTGTATTGAGCTTATATAATAAAAATAGAATGTGTGTATTGTTGCATGTTGTTATGTATACTTTTTTTTGGGATAAACTTGGGGTTGGTAAAATGGAGGGAGACACTTTCTTATTACACTACTGAGATTTAAAATAACCGAGAACCGTACACTCCAGGATTGAGCTTAAGTTTGAAACTGAACAAAACGTTACTACAAACTATGAACCAGCAACTCGGAACACCCTCCCGTAAAGAGCCAATGCTCACCTTAGTGTCATTTCCTTCATCTCCTTAGCAGTAGAAATCATTCTTTGCTTTTCTTCTGTCACTCTTCTTCTTTTTTTTCGAATTCGACCGAAAACATACTCCTAAAAAGTCCCGAATTCACGAACTAAACTCGACAAATTTGCCAGAAACATGGCCACTCTCGCTCGTCCCATGCTCCCTCCCAAGTCTTGGTACCAGATTACCTCTCATTTGCTGAATGAAGATTAAACCGAGCTCGATACCAAATCGAGCTCAATATGAAACCTACAGAATGCGAGGCAAACCGTGCTCGATAGAATACGTGGCAAACCGAGCTCGATAAAAATAACTGAGGTCGATAAGAGCAGATTGAGTTCGTCGAGCTCGTCTTTTTAATCGAGCACGATATAGTTGAATCGAGCTCGAATAGAATTGACTGCATTTCGAGCTCGTTGAACCGAGGTTGGTTTGAAATGGTACTCGAATTGCTATTCGAGTACGGTGAACATGAATCGAGCTCGGTTGCCCAGATACTAAATGTGGTCCGAAAATTCTTGCTAGAAAGTCAATTTTGTCTTTTAACAATATTACATTTACAACTTGTTTTGTGATTAACATTTTTTTTTCACAACCACATCATACTTGTGCGTCATTCAAAATTCCATGTCGAAATTTTTTTCCAATTTACTTTAATTTTGCAGCTTATTAAAGAAATGGAAGGAAGAGCTCCTGACTTGCTTGATGCCATGGCCACTGTAACTGTGCCTGTTGCAAAAGAAGATGAAGTCAAGTGCCTCCAGTGTGTGATATATGGTTAAATGATGAATACCCAGTGCTGGAAAAAAAAAACTCATGACTATCATCCGTTATGTTGAACACTCCAATTGTAAGATGCATATCATTTTACTGACTAAAGGCAATTTCCAAAAAATACGACTTGAGCTCAAAGTTGTTACAGAATGAAAGAAATGCCATTTTTACTTCATTCTTTTTAGTGAAGCAAAATCAAAATCTTGAAACAACATCAGCTTAAAAATTTCAATGTGAACCTTCCATATTTGTCTTTTATCCGAAAAAAAAATCGCTAGCTTGATTTAGCAAACTGAATCATGTTCAGTGTGAAATCCTTCGATTGAAATACACCATTGCACGCGTGTTGTGCACGCAACAAGAATATTCCATGGGCCAGAGAAGGTTCTCATTACCTCTCAGGGGTAGAAAATGCGAGTGTTACCTGATGAAAGATTATGTGAAAGACTTATCAAATTCACTCGATAGCAACCGTGAAAGAGTAACTCTCGCCATTTTCTTGCGTACTCCTTTATTGAAAAAGATGCTGCTTTAACGTGGAAACGAGGCTGACAATAAAACGATTATTTCAAATGACTTCTTCGTTTTTTCTTTAAAGAAGATAAATCAGTATCTTCAACATAAAACACGATTTCAAAATAATTTTGGGCTAAAAGCCACAATTTTACGATTTTATTTAAAAGAAAACTAGTTCAAAACATAGATTGAACTCGAAAGGCATCATGAATAATTTCCAAGATGGCAGCATCGCTGCCTGGTAAGTGCGTTGAAGTTCTTGTGTAACCTTGACGATTTATGACGCATTTTGCCCAAAATGTAGAGAGATTAGGCTTCTAAAAGTCAAAAATTATTAGCAAAGGAAACAAAAATAAAAGACTAAGTATTATTTTCTGCTCGTTAACGTAAATACTTGCAAACGTTCGGAAGCTGGTGATCGAATATTAAGAAGTTATTTTTACATCGCAAAGCTTTGAACAATTGTTTGAGTTTCTTCGATCACATGTATTGGAAAATCCAAGGCTTATCAGGTGGTTGACCTGAGAGAAGTTGACGTCTTACATGCGATCAATGTACGCTAATGAAATACTCAAATCCACACTGAAAATTTTTGGAGAAAGTTGGAAACAGAATTGGGTGACTTATTGCAATTTGAAGATCTCCTGGATAATAGAAAGCTTTTTGTTCTACCCCAAAATCTGTGCATCTCAAATCAAGGAAATTCAGCAAGCTGGCATGTACTTCCGTGATGCACTTCTCCCAAATATTAGTACGATATCATGGCCTCCGAAACATGTTGAGCTATGTGAAAGTGCAGTCAAACTTCCAGAAGAACTAGATGCGTTTCTATACACTCTCTTAACTGGGAACACACATATCCCAGCAGAATATCCCGATCGCCTCCGCGCTTTGTTGATTCTTTTGGCCAGGACATCATTTACGGAGTTACTCTAGGACTACAAAAACTACTCAAGCAAATACTGTTACCGTATGCCAAACAATGTTCAACTTATCCAGATGCCACACCGATGTGAGTATGGGATCGTTCCTTTGCCTGAAACTATCAAGCCATATATCAACACAACACTCGCGTGGGACAATATCGATAGATTGGAGGAAACTCTTTCTGGCGGGGTAGCCAAAAAGCCAATGGCTAGACTGGATTTAACATTTCTGTCCTTAATGAGGTTCAAGTCTCACTGGATGTCATCAGATATCTCCCGAATATCGATGTACCTGCTACTGACATGGCTACTCTTCACGAGGTTCTAGTGCAGTTCCTCAAGAAAAAGAATACGCTCAAGTTAAAGAGCATCGTCGTCGTCTTTGACTAAACACTGTATGCAAAGGCAAGCGAGAGACAATGGAAACAAAGCGCGAAATTTAAAGATATGGTGATGAAAATGGAAGTATTCCACACAACATGCACCATGTTGTCCATCACTGGCAAGCGCTTCAAAGATACTGGCTTGGAGGATCTGTGTGTAGAGTCTGTTGTGATAGCAGAAGGTTCTGTTGCAGAAGTTCAACAGGGACGCAGGTTCAATAGTTGAGTTAGACTCCACAAACTCGAGCATGAAGCCCTTATGAGACTGGCGTGGCGAGGATTTAGGTCCTGGATAGAAGAGAATTATAAGCAGTCCAAGAGTATCGTTGATGGCTTATTTGGTGAGATTGGTGATTTGTATGATGATATCTGCAAAAGGTTGTTCCAGAAGTATATGACCAGTGCTTGTAGTGTCAATTCTGTCCATCTTTTTGGAAGTACATGGCGTTTCTTCGTTGCGAGAGCGGAGTGCACGAACTGTTGACGGAATAACAATGGTTCAGAAGATACGAGGCGACCAAAAAACATTTGCAGAGGTGGCTGATAGAATGATGTCAATAGTTTTGCATGAAGGAACAGAAAACTAGTGTATTGGCGTAGTCTTTGATGTTAAACGAGATAGCTCAGTAAAGAATGCTGAGAGAGATAGAGCAGAGAGGCTCAGAAAGCGGTCATGGATTCAGAAACATCAGGGTAGACAACAAAACATTCCAGTGGCGGAAATTCCTTTCCAATTCTAAGAATAAGTTGCTCCTAATTCCTCTCAGAATAGTGCGAAAATGAGATACATAAAGACTCGCTGGAAAGAAAATCTTTGTAACAGCCGAGGATCGATGCTGTGAAGTCTCTTCGATCGGAACAACAATAAGGAAGCTAAGGTCTACGCAAGAGGAAGCAAATACCAGAGTGTTACTCCGTATAGCTATTTTTTGAATCAAGCCTCGTTTCCACAAACGAGTCTCGTTTCGACAAACGAGTCTCGTTTCGACTAACGAGTCTCGTCTCGACGAACGAGTCTCGTTTTGACGAACGAGTCTCGTTTCGACAAACGAGTCTCTATTCTCGAACAAACGAGTCTCGTTGAAAATCGTTTATTGAGTGACTTATAAATCGTGACGATTTAAAATCGAGTGGTTTCCCAGAAACCGTGAGTGATCCTTTCGAGCTCGGTTGCCCAGAAACAATTCGGATCAATATTTGTTTCTGGGCAACCGAGCTCGAAATAGGTGACTCGAGCTCGAAAGCCTATCCGAGCTCGAGTCACAACTCGACTAGAAGGATCCTGAGCAACCGAGCTCGATATAAGTGACTCGAGCTCGAAAGCCTACCCGAGCTCGAGTCACAATCTTTGTAATCGAGCTCGAATCAAATCGAGTTCGATTTGGTAATCGCGCTCGAATCAAATCGAGCTCGTGTCCGACCGAGCTGAATAATATTTGTTCCTGGGCAACCGAGATTTTTCTGGCAGGGGGAGGGAGGAGGGGGAAGTGCAGATCATGCTCGATATAAGGGGAAGAGATAATATTAAAAACTATGGTGAAGAGAAAAATTTAAAAAAATATTTGGTTTTTCCTGTCTCATGTTTTTTCTTAAGTTTAAAACAGCATTTGGACAGAGAACAATTAATTATTGAATGGTTTCCTCATGCAACCAGTTGGACGATTCTTTTAAACTTTGTTACTCAATCTAGGTTTTAAACGCAGATTAAGAAGTGAGCACCTGGAACGGTTCTTGCGGTCCTAGTCCTTAAGCTTGCAATCACCAGCTTTTTAGACATCTAGATCTAAAATTTTTACACTATACATTGAATTAAAGCTTGCAACAACCAAATTTTTAATGTTAAACTCTAACCACCAGATTTACACGTAAGATTCACATTGTTCATTTTTACAAGTTACTTAAGTGATTAACGGACTTAAGCAAAAATTTGAGTGAGACGAAAAAAAAAAAAAAAGGTTTTCTAAAGTTTTAAAGAGTCCAATCGCTAGAGTGGGTCGAGTCTTGTTCCACGGAGGAGTGACCGAGAGGCTGGTATCCAAGGAGCAGCGCATCTACACTTTATTGCAGAAGCTCAAAGACGCGACTGGTTAATGAAGTTTGGGATTAACGGACTTAAACAAAAATTTGAGTTCGCTGTCACTATAAAAAATCTCGTGAAGCAGGCGAATGTAAAAATTGAAATGTTAACTATTCGGTATCAGTTTTCTTACGACACCGTTATCGAGCTCATTGTAATGCAGGAACTAGGTAAGAACGCTTTCTTACACTTGTGTATCGCCCATAAATGGGTTCTCTATTCTTTCTTATTTCGTGGCTGCTAAACTACCGAAAATTACGAAACTTCGTGACCAGATGATGACGCAACTTTTTTGGGTCTTAACCTCTCTTCCCCTCAACCCCTTCCCCGTTAATATGAGAATAATCCAGAATATTTAAGAGAGATATGGTAAGGGATGGGACATTCATTTTATTGTTGAAACAGGTGTATGTTAGTGTCTAACAAAATGCTCTCCACCTTTGACGTTCCCTTTCTACCACATATTTAAAGATAACTTTCAACATGCCATTGTAAAGTGCACATGTTATTTGCAAAATTTATTAAAATTCATAATTGATAAATACGCATGATTACCAGCTGATTAATCATAACCACTAAATACTTAATGGATAAAAAAAAACATGAACATAATTAGAATACAAACTATTTTAAACACTTGCATTAATTTTTAACCCTCTAACCCCTAGAAGGGATAAACATGAAACTTCTCCCCAGAATATCCTTACATAATCCAACAAATAGGTAATGAGAATACTCATGTTTATCAGGTAGAAATTGTCATCTTGATCTAATACCCAATTTGCATAAGCTATCTAGAAGGAATTGTGTAGCAGCTTGAGGGGACAATTAAGAAACAGTTTCAAAAGATTGAGAGTTAACTTTTAATTAACAACTGCTCTACATCTGTTGAATGTGATACAGCACAATAACAATAATTTATAATTTTCTTTGAGCAAAATTTATAAACATGCATGATTACTTAGTGAGTAATTATAACCACTAAATACTTAATGAATAGCAAACATTAACATAATTAAACAACAAACTAGTTTAAAAACTTGTATTCATTTTTTTTCACCCTTTGACTCCTAGAAGTGATTAACCCTTTAACTCCCAGATTGAATTTTTTAATTCTCCTTACTATCAACCATACAATTCTTATGATGTTAGGTCAGAGAATTTAGTATTGATCAACTAATTAACCCAAAATTGATATTCTTCTTTGGTCTCTTCACTTATCTGGTTGATATTGTATTAATATTGTAGGGAGAAATTATGTCTGGGTCACTCGTGGCAGTTAAAAGGTTAACAAGAAACTTCTTCCCATAAAATCCTTATGTTATCCAACAAATAGGTAACAAGAATACTCAAATTTATAAACATGCATGATTACTTACTGAGTAATCATAACCACTAAATACTTAATGAATAACAAACATTCACATAATTAAATTACAAACTAGTTTAACCCTTTAACTCCCAAGATCTGATTGTTAATCCTCCCCTGTAGCTGCTACACATTTCCTTGTGAATTAGTTATGAGAACTTGGTGCTAGATCAAGATAGCAGCTTCTACCTGATAAGTTTTAATATTCTCTTTACCTGTTTGCTGGAGAATGTATGGATATTGTAGGTAGAAGTTTTATGTGAATCACCACCGGGAGTTAAAGGGTTAAAAACTTCCATTAATTTTTTTCACTTCTATAAGTGATTAACAAGTAACTTCTCCCCATAATATCCTTACATTATCCAACATCTGACTACTTCTTCAACTTCTTCCTTTGGCAGCCAGTTCTTTTTTCCCTTTTTTTCTTTTCCCCTTTGGCATTGATTTCCTTTATTTCTTCTTTTTCTACCTTTTCTCCTTCCTCACCTTCCATGCTGGCATCTTCTCTTCTACATTCTCCATCTTTATCTACTCTTGCGTCTTTTTTCTCTTCGCTCTTTTGCTTCTTCTTTTCTCTTTTCTCTTTCCTTTCCTTTTTTCTTCTTTTTTCCATTCTTCTTTCCTTTTTATAATGGTCTTGGTGGTCTTCATCTGTCAGTAAAAGTGATGATGGTTTAATCCCTTTAACAATCAACTCAGGCATTGGTAATGGATTTTACCACCACGTCATTATTGAGGTGATGCAATAAAGAGCATTTTAAGTCTTCTAAGATAATAATTTTGTTCCCAAGTTTTGCTAGAAAACCTACCATAAACCTCATAAAGACAATTCTTACCCTCGACTGTCGTTTGCAGGATTTCCTGTTTGCCTAGTGGCACATTTCCCTTGAAGCAAACCTGCAAAGAAATGAAGGGAAGGGAAGTATGCTGCACAAAATGGATAACATGGTGATGAATAATTCAGCTTATAAGCAAATTCATCTGTACAGCATACCTCCCTCAAACATTTCCACTAGAGTAGATACCATTTGCATTGTCTTGCATGTTAATGTTAATGTTATTGTTAGCTTTTATAACAGTGTTACGCAAGTCAATGCCAATGTGTCATCTTCCATAGGGAATAGTGTATCAAAATTACTCTAGGGAATTCCCTGCCACTCAAAACAAACATACTTAATAAA